ATCTTTCTTCTATCATTGACAGTCCCTCTAGGTTGTGGGCTGCTTGCCTGTGTTCCTGAGAAGCATCTACGGTACCAGTCTATAGAGTGTGTTTTCTTTAGTGAATTACCGGTATGTTTACCGGTAATAAACTTGCACTGTTTTATGTATATGTTTGATTACATACAGCCTTGTGACAGTTTTCCTGCATGTCATAAGCATTTGAATATAAATTAAAATGTTAAAATCAAATCTGATATTGTTTTACCTTCTCTTTGGTGGGTGGAAGGTGTGCGGAAGAGGGGGTAGTCTTATACGGCGAGTATATAACAAACTCTGTATTTTGAGTGGAAATGTTAGGGGGTCATCTTATACGCCCAGTCGTCTTATACGCCGGCAAATACGGTAAATACCTCTAGTGGCGCCCCCTACACTTAGATTACAATAGAAACTGCTCATGATGACTCTCAGGGCCCCGCATGGTCAGGCCCTGGCTTCCCTCCCTCCCCCGCCCCCACCCCCACTGCCCCAGGATAGCTCAGACCACTTTCCCTGCACAGGATGCCCAGGATATCCCCACCATCAGTGATTCCTACTGTAAGGCCTCTGCACTTGGGTTTCCTCTACCTGGAATGCCCCTCCCCAAACCCTTATGCAGTGAACTCCTTCTTGTGACTCGGGGTGCAGCTCAGATCATGCCTTTAAAGACTTGTCCCCTGGCCACTCTATCTAAGGAGCCCTCCCATATTCTAGTTAGTTGCCTTTATTATATTCATAGCACTCGCTATCTGAAATTATATTAGTGATTTATTTAATACTATTTATCTAGTGTATTTCCTCACTCTGCCCCTCTGCTAAATATGCACCTGAAATTTAGGTATCCCCTGTGTCCAGTAGAAGTTCTTGACATGCAACTAATGCTCAAAAGTCTACTTATTGAAAGAAAAGATGGATGGACACCTGGACTAGACTTGGACTAAGCAGGGGACCTTGGGAAGGGGCCTAGGCTAGGCTCTGCTCAACTCCACATGACTCATGAACGGTGGCTAGATCTCTGAGGGCTGTATGTACTGCCAGTGTATGTATACATAGCTAAATGGAATTTTTCCCATTCCAACCACTATCACAGGGTCCTCACACTTTGATTTCTGGGAAGTTTAAGTTTCAGCCGCCTAAGCGTCAAGGCTGAACTCGGCCGAAGCACATTATGCAGGAACTCAGCCAGGGTCACGTCTTCCTGAGTTATGTCCCATGGCCCATTTGCTGGGTAACCGGCTCTCAGTAATTCCATAACCATGCAATGCGCCTCCTCAGCAGGAGGAGGACGAGGCTGTCAGGAGAATTCTAAATTCAGGAGCAGCCCCGACCCGAGGAGGATTCTAAGAGGAGCCAAGAGACTTGGGGGATAGAAAGGCATCCATGTGCCCTCCAGGGGACCCTCTCCCTTGGAGATTTCTTCAGGAGAAGGCAACATTTGGCTGCAATGGCAAACCATGAACGGTGCTGGGAGTCAAGGCAGAGCGTCGCCAATCTGACCTTGGAGGTGGTTGAGGCTGTGATCAGAGACAGGTGTACAGTTGAGCCTCATGGTGGAGGTACAAATTCTCATCGGAGCACAGAGTTCTGGGGTCCTGGGAGAGAACCAGGCCAGATTCTCCTGGGAAGAGGCAAATACCACCTGCCAGGAAGAGCAAGGGCAAACCTCACACACAGGGTCAGGAGCAGGAAGGCACTGGATGCAGCAAAGGTAAGCATCCTCTCTGAGGATGGGGTGTGTGCAGGGCTGGGGGCTAAGACAGAGACTTGTTTCAGAGAGACTGCCTCAAAACTGATGGCAGTGCAGGCCTGAGGTTCAGTGAACGACAGCTAGAGTAGCCATCTCCCCATGCAGTTGCCAGACTGAGGACGAAGCTCATTCTCCAATGGGCAGTTGATGCTGATGCCAGGAATTGAAGGAAGGGAAGACTTAATCCCAGAAAAGGGGACTCATCTGCATATCCACTATGTAAACCCTGCATAGCGGGGACAGGGAGGACTTCTGGGGCCCTTTCCATATGAAGTCTAGCTCATCAGAGACATTTGCCAGGCATGATTGAATGGCCAGACCCATCGAGAGAATTCCAAAGACTCAGAAAGTAACTCAGAGGGTAGGGGGTACCTTAGCCAAAGAGAGTAATGGAGAGTGGAGCAGAACCTCAGCATTCCTGAGGTGCCGGCAGATTTCTGGGAAAGAAGGGTCTCTTGCACCGACATCAAACACAGTAACCCCGAATACTGTCTTGCCCAACCCCCTTGGGACTTTCCCTATTTCCTCCAGAGAATGTGCTCCCCGGCAATGAGTAAAATAATGGCATTCTAGTGTCAGGGGAATGAAGGCTCTGACACATTCACTGCAGCAGGAGTAGGAAGAGTTGTTTTAAATAAAGCAGCATGGATGGGGCTAAAATGAGAATAGCCCCCAAATGGGAGGACTGAAAGGCATGTAAGGACAGGGCACTTGATGTCTCTTGAGGGAACAGCAAACTGCACCATCACCAATAGCATGACTCATGGCTATAGAGGAGGTGTAGAGAGAGTCCTACTAAGAGTTGCCTGGGACCAGATGGCTGCTGAGAAACTGATGAGAATCTCCAATATGCAGAATACTAACTAATGGAACCAGCATCCCAAAGAGTCCTCCTAGGGCTACCATAATTCCCAAGCACATCCCTTTGACAATAGCCCTTCCCCCAAAAACATGGGATATGATGTCATCTCAACTACCTACATCCAGGACTTGTCCCTTCTCAGATTTAATGAACCTGAGAACCGCAGCTCCTTGCTCAAACACACTCAAATTATCTTACAATAAATACAGCAAAGAGGGAGAAATTCAAGGGGAAACTTGATTGGCATGGAGGAGTGGTATGCCCTTGAGGGCTCTTGACACTGTACCATAAGTACTAACCACTGTGAGAAATCTTTCTCTACGCCTACACAGAGCTGATGAGTGAATTTAAAATTACTTTTAAAAATTAATAGCTTTGGGGTACTTTTCCCTGTGACTGAACAGTGTACTAATTTCTTCAGTGTTTTGGTGTTGTTCCTTTTCTTAAAAAAAAAAAAAGACGACAATTGCACACAATTCTATCCAAAGCCCTCTAATTCTTCCACTTCAGTGGTCTGAATCCCACTAATAAACAATCAGGACTTTAGACTCCCTTAATAATGGAGAGAGATTCAAACGAAGATGTTTTGCCAGTCTCTGCAAATTCCTGGAGGTGCTGCCTGTGGAACAGGCCGGCAAAATTATGGATTTATTCAGAACTGATTGCACTGAGTACGTAAGCACTTTGGAAGAATTAAAAAACAGAGAGAGAGATGCTTGTGAGCTGAATGAAGAGGGGGGGGTTGCAGCCCCCAAGCTACCCAGTCTGATGAGGAATACGGCTGTGTTAGGAGAAGGAACAGACTTACTGCATGGATGCGCGAGGACCCGGACCTCGTCCACAGCGATGTAGCCAGGATGGCCTTTCAAAGAGACGGATTCAAATATCACCTGCAACACACACAGGGCGGGAGTCAATTTCACAGAAGTGGTTGTAGGCACTGATCGTAGGAATCTGCCCACCCCCCAAAAACCCTTTATGATTCTGCTTCCCATCAGAATCACCCAAAGAGGCCTTATCTTAGGCTAGGATGCTCTCCTGGCAATTGAGTTGGATTTTCAAAACAAGGTAGAAAGGCCTTGTGATGAGCAAAAGGAGAGTTAGCCACATGGAACATTCTTAATGGATTTCAGAAACAATGCTTGGATGCAGGAACAGCAACCCAAATATGGCCTGCAGACCCCAATCTGCACCTTTCTCATGGTTGTTTCAAGTGAAACACAGAGTAGAATTACTTCCTAATACCCCAACTTTCTTATGAGGGGTGAGGGAGGAGCTTACCTTGGAAGCTCCCGTAAGAAAGGGAGGTTTATCCTGACTTGATTCTATATCCCCAAGGAACACCAACAGTCCATCTGAATTTCTTAATAACACCTTTCAAAATCTGCACAACTGTTGATATCTGGGAATCCAAGGGCAACATTATTTTTTTAGTTCTCCATTCTGACTCCCACCCAAACTGCTAATTTCAGTAGAGACTGTATGGCTCAGTTCATGGCTTTCTTTGTCACCCAACCTCTACCTTCATCTCGGAGCTATGACTATCCATGTGGACAACCAGACCAACCCATTGACCTCCCTAATTCTAATGGCTTTATCTCCCACTCAGCGTAAGCCACAGGCTCAGACTTCTCCTTCTCCACTTCACAGAGTAGAAATTCTATCTTCCTATATATTGGCACAGCCTCCTACCCCACACCCCACTCCCAATTCATTCCTCTTAAACCTGATCTCAGGTTCATGCAGTACCCTGGACCTCAAGTTTCCACAGTTTTCAGGCTTGCCTGGACCTCCCTATATAGGGTGTCCCAAATAATGTATATACACTTTAACAGCTGATAACTGACTTAATTTTGAAAATGTACTGTATGTTAGTCAACACTGACTTTATAATCCTTCAAAGTGTGCATACATTTTTGGGACACATTATATTTTCAACAAGCCTGGGGTACCCCCACTACATTGGATAATCACACATACCACTCTTGCCTATAGCACCACTTCCATAGCAGCTTCATTACAACTCTGGCAAGCCCATTACAATACTGCCTTCACCACGGGAACTGGTGGAGAGGGTGGTGATGGCTTTGAAGAGGCAGCTTCCTCTAAGTCAGCATATGGCTGCCTGGGAATTACATAAAGTGACTTGGGAATGGCAGTCACACCAAACATAGAGCAGCTGGCATCAGCATGACAACCACTGGGGAAGAGGGATTTACTAAGACACAGGGTCCTTCAGAGAGAGTTAACAAACAGAACTGTGCAGGAAGGAGGGGAAAGTTTGCAGAAATGAAAGTGATAGCTGCCTCATCCCGCAGAGAGGAAGTCAGCAGAAGGCCTTTCTATCAATAATCGCATATCTAATTATGTTTTTATTAATTCAAATGAAACCAAAAGCAAAGTCCTATTGAAAAAATAACAAGAAAATAGAGCAAATGCAGAAGATACGTTTATAAAGAAACAGGATAAAACTATTCAAGTTGTATAATAAAAGTGACAGAAGTAACAAGAATATTTGTGACAATAAATAGGTTAAAATAGAGAAAAGCTCTCAGACTGTCCAAATAGACAAAACCTAATTGGATGCTATCACATAAACACCTAAAGCAGACTGACTCAGTAACCTTGAGAACAACACGTTGAACAAAGGGAAATAATAGGGAAATACAAATAAACAGAAAACAGTTATTGCAAAAATAATGTGAAAGCATCAAAGCAGAATTTAAACCAAAAGGGAAACAAAAACCATTAAGTGGACTAAAATGGTCATTCATAAGAATGCATGGCCTGGTCTGCATGGCCCAGTGGTTGAATGTGGATCTATGAACCAGGAAGTCACCCTTCAATTCCCTGTCAGGGCACATGGCTGGGTTGTGGGCAAAATCCCCAGTGTTGGGGGTGCAGGAGGCGGCCGATCAATGATTCCCTCTCATCACTGATGTTTCTATCTCTCCCTCTCCCTTTCTCTTGGGAATCAATAAAACTATATTTTTTTAAAAAGAATGTAGGCGTCAATAGACTTAAAAGAAGAAAATGATGGAAACAAACAAATAGTAGTTACAGTTTAAATAATACTCATTTATACCTATTTAACCCACGTTTTACATTCTGACAAATTAAACAGAAAAAAATGCATCTATCAAGTATGTACATAATATAAACAATGATGCATTTACTAAACAAATGTTAATGAATTTAGAGAATAAAATTTCTGTTCACACATTCATGGGTTATTTACACAAAGATCATATAACAGACTAAAGCAGCGGTTCTCAACCTGTGGATCACGACCCCTTTGGGGGTTGAACGACCCTTTCACAGGGGTCGCCTAAATACATCCTGCGTATCAGATATTTACATTATGATTCATAATAGTAGAAAAATTACAGTTATGAAGTAGCAACGAAAATAATTTTATGGTTGGGGGTCACCACAACATGAGGAACTGTATTAAAGGATCGCGGCATTAGGAAGGTTGAGAACCACTGGACTAAAGTATAAGTTCATCAAAGAAGAAACCAGCCGAAACCGGTTTGGCTCGGTGGATAGAGCATCGGCTTGCGGACTGAGGGGTCCCGGGTTTGATTCCGGTCAAGGGCATGTACCTGGGTTGCGGGCACATCCCCAGTGGGGGATGTGCAGGAGACAGCTGATCGATGTTTCTCTCTCATCGATGTTTCTAACTTTCTATCTCTCTCCCTTCCTCTCTGTAAAAAATCAATAAAATATATTAAAAAAAAAAGAAGAAACCATATAGGTTTGGCTCTGTACATTTTCTAACTAAATTCATTAAAGCTAGAAATTAATGACAAATGCTTCAAAATCAATCTCTTAAATTGAAATATGCCTTAATTAAATATACAATACCTTCTTAGTAACTATGGTGTCAAAATATGTTTTGTATATTAACAAAGCCTGAAACAAAATTAAAAGTCGAATGGCAAGCTGGAAAAAATTTGTAATTATATATGCCAGCAAAAAGGTGAATGACCTGTTTTGTGTAAAGAATTCTTAAGACTCAACAAAATAAGTAAACTCTCAAAAAAAAAAAATTGGCAAGTAACATCAGTAGGCAATTCACAAAAGATGAAATCAGAATGGTAATAATGTATGAGTGCAATTTTTTAATGACACGGGAAATTATGGTAGATGATTATTTTCTGATTTATATTTTTCTAGATTTTCCAAAATTTCTGCAGTAAAAATGAGCTACTTTATATTTATACTAAAAACGAAATGTTTTATGGTACATTTGCATATCTCCCTTCATGTTATATTATCATGATGCCATATACCACCATACAATTAGCACCTATCACACCCTATTGCCATTGCTTGCTCAAAAATCATTTCATTCCCTAAACTCACCGCCCCCTGTCATGCACAGAGCAGGGCGGATTGGGAGGTTGCGATGCCACCCACAGTCACGCTCAGGGCAGGGCCAATTGGGGGGTTGGGGCACCGCCCCTGTCACACTCAAGGCAGGGTTGATGGGGAGGTTGTGGCACCACCCCCTGTCACGCAGAGCAGGACCAATCAGGGGGTTGGGGGGCTGCCCCCTGTCACTCACAGACCAGGGCCCATGAGGGGGGTTGGGGCTCCGTACCCTGTCACACACAAAGCAGGGTCGATCAGGGGGTTGGGGAGCTCCCCCCATCACACACGGAGCAGGGTGGATAGGGAGGTTGTGGCCTTGCCCCCTGTCACACACAGAGCTGCTGGGCGATCGGGGGTTTGGGCGCTGCCCCCTGTCACGCTGATCCCGATGCCGGAAGGCCTCTAGGTTCCACTGAACCCGGTGCTGGGAGGCATATTACCCTTTTACTATATAGGATAGAAGCCTGGTGCATGGGTGGGGGCCGGCTGGTTTTGAGCTCTGAGTCTTGGCTCCAGCTCTTAGGCTTCTGCTGCTGAAAGCAGGTATCTGGTTTGTTTGGGTTCTATAATCGAAACACTGTTTCAACTCCAGCTCTGAGATCCCGGCTGGCTGAAAGCAGGTTTCTGGGGTTTTGTTTAGCTTCTATATTTGTAACAATGTTTCAAACTGCAAGCTCAGAGGCCAGCAGTGGCAGGCGGGGAACGTTGGAGTCCTCCGTCACTGAAGCAAGCAAGCCTCATGTTTGCTTCAAGCTGCCTGGCTGCCGGCCGCCATCTTGGCTGGCAGTTAATTTGCATATCACCCTGATTAGCCAATGGGAAGGGTAGCGGACATACAGCTAATTACCATGTTTCTCTTTTATTAGATAGGATAGTCAGGAGCTCAAATTTTCTTCTAATTCGCTGAAAGATTTACAGCAAGGAAGAGACACATTCTAATTTATATTCAGACCAATCTGTGGAAAAGGACTGACTGGCAGGTGGGCAAATGAGAATGAATAAAGCAAACAGACCTATCCCTTGGCTACTGTAGTCATCCAATCAAAAGATGAGGATAGCTTTGGGCCCTGGCAGGTAGCTCAGCTGGTTAGAGCTTTATCCTGATGCCAAGGTTTCTGGTTTGATCCTGGTCAGGGCACATATGGGAATCAACCAATGAATGCATAAATAAGTGGAACAACAAATCGATGTCCCCCCCCCCCCGCTTCTCTTTCTAAAATGAAAAAAATCTTTCTTTCTCTCTCTCTCTCTCTCTCTCTCTCTCTCTCTCTCTCTCTCTCTCTCTCTCTCTCTCTCTCCCCTTTCTTCTCTCCTTTCCTCTGTCTCTCTAAAATCAATAAATAAAGAGAAAAAAAGTGAGGATATTGTTTATAACTGTGATGGCTATACGGAATAAAGGTTGGTGGTTTAAGAGAGATTTCGAACGTAGAGACAAAAAGAACTGCTGTTAGATTAACAGGAGAAGAGTGAAGGAAAGAGAAGGCTCCGCGAGGACTCTTCAATTTAGAGCCTGAGCTTCTGGGCTAAGTCTAGTGTCATTTACTGACATAGGGAAAGTGACATGATAAACGCGTGTGCAGGTCAGCTATGTCAGGGTTTCCTGGTGGCTATGTTAAGTTGCGATGACAATTAAGCATCATAATGGATATGTTGAGTAGGAATCTGACATTACGTTTCTGAAACTCATGGGTAATTTAGGAACCAGAGTTACAAATGCGGTAGCTTGGGCATCTAAGTGTCATTTAAAGTTATAGAACTAGATAAGGTCACCTTGAAAGGCAGAGTAGATAGTTCAGAGATGAGAGCTAGGGCCCAAGGCCAAGTTCTAAAAGCCCAATAGAGAAGGTATTTTTGGGGATGGTAGAGACTGGAACATGATGTTAGGTAGAGAAGAATGAATCAGGAGAGTAGCATGGAATATGAGTGAAGGACAGATGAAATAAGATTCTAAAGAGGGCAGGAGTCAGTCCATTGGTGTCAGGATACCAGTGGCATAATGGGTATTGACCAGAGGGGCACCTCATCAAAGAAAACAGAATGATAATAAAATAATGCAAATGGAGAAATATGCCCACAATAATAAAGGTCACAATACTGACCACTTATTATGTGACCTGGAACTAGCCTCTCAACAGCCCCAATTACCAAAACTCAGAAAGGAAGCCACGGGTGGCTGAGAGTTGAGGTCCTGGTCTCCTGGTTCACAGTACATGGCCATGGCCATTCTTGAACTTTGGTGAACCACTCTCACTTAACCAAAACCCCTGATTAAGCAGAATCCTGGCTTTTATTCCAGTTAATCAGTTTAACTTAATTCTTCTAACGCTTTGTTTCTCATATCCTCACCCAGTACCTATTCTATATCACAATAATCAATAAATACTCCATGAATGAACACAAGGCTTGGCATGGGAGGATGGATGTGTGACAGTGAAATATACATTTGTTCACTGTCCTTTTTTCTTCCTTCGCAGAAATAAGAGTTCTATAATGAGACAGGGTATCTTTCATTCATCAGAACTCCTCCTGGGAATGTTTCTGTAAAGCTAATATTAGGGAAGGTAAGATTTTGGTTTCTCAAATAGGAGAGAGTAATATTCTGTAAGAAACATGGGAAAGCATGTTCTGGTCTTCCATTAAATGAGTTGATAATTCTCAAGGGCTTACAGTAGACATGGTAAGATATCTGTAAGTGTCACGGATACTATTGATCTTGCTCTGGTGAGAGGGATGGAAAATTAGAGGAAAGGCAGGAGTGGTGCTAGATCTAGGGACAGGGAGAAAGTAAAGGACTGTCCATGTGACTACCCCCTATTACCCCCACCCCAAATTTCCACTGAAGTTCTTACACTCGGCAGACACTGTGATGTGAGTCATGACTGGTAAAAACTGGTGGAGGGATTGCTCAGGGTAAAATCAAGGAGGCCTGTGCAGACATGGAGGAGGGTTTGGTGCTTAGCTGAGAGGGTGGGTGGATGAGATAGGAGACAGGGTGGAGTTCCGGGGGGGAGTGGCCCCCTCCCTGGAATGCATCCTCCTGAACTGTGCATGGAGTTACCAAACTTGCAGAGTGTAGAGTGTCTACAGGGACTGCTCAGGAGGCCTGAGGGACTGCTGAGAAAGGGCTCCGAGTCCAGTTGAATCCAAATCAGGCGACTCCTAAATTTCAGGGGTCCACAGAGCAATTACTCTGCGGGATAAAAGGTAATTTCACCCAGGCAGGTGATGGAGAAGAGAGAGAGCCAGTGGCTGCAAAATTAATAATTAGTTATTTTACTTTTAAAAAATCTTGCAATGGATAAGTTCAGAATCATTAAAAACATGAAACAGAATTAATATCCCCTGGAAAGGGGCAGCGATCTGAGGCAGGGCTTGCTAAGTCCTCGCTGGCCTGAGAGACGCCAGGTGGGAGTGGAGGTGAATGGCAGAGGGACATTCCTACCCCAGGCCCTGCTCAAGGTCTCCTGCCAGAATGCCCACTAATAAGAAAGATAAAATTTCCTGTTTATTACGGAGCTAAAAGTCCATTGTAGGACTGTGAAATATGACTTTAATAAATGAATACATAAGCCATCCATATGTGAAAACCAGCACTACTGAAAACTAGAACTATTTAGTCCACAGCCTCATACATGCAGGACCAGAACTTGGGGGTCTGGTGAATTTAATATCCATTTTGCAAAAGTCTTCGAATCTCCTGATAGGTCCCCTCTCCTCTCCCGCAGATGTATATGTGAATGGGTGAGTGGCTGCCCCTGAGTCCACGTGAGTCTGGGAGCATGCAGGTGTGCGAGCCCCTGTGTGTGCTCCACTCTGGGTGCATGGCCACAAGACCATCCACTACTGCCTCTGTGTGTGTGTGTGTGTGTGTGTGT